GAATTCTTCTCTTGTACCTCTCTCTGTTAGAAGGGTGTATTTCCTGCAACACAAACATCAGGTTGGGCCACATGACCTGTTTGAGCCGATGGACTGTAAGGGGAGTGACATGTCACATCTGAGTAGGATCTGTAAGTGCCATTGGGGGGTTCTGCTTTGCTCTCTTTCCTCTGCCATAGGTTGGCATATCTCAAATAGGCTCTTTCAGCCTAAGCCCAAGAATAAGGAGGATGAGGACGAGGGCCACAGCTGAGTCTCAGTGGGCATTGACATGAGTAAGAAATTACCTGCTGCTATTGTAATTCGCTGAGATTTGGAAATTGTTTGCGACTGCAGCATAACTTAGTCCAAACTGATGAGTATGGAGAGTGAACTTAGTTTCCAGCTTTCTAGTTCCATTCTCTCTGTGAGTTGATTTTGTTTCATATCCCATGAATTCCTCTGAGATCACTAAGTGGGCTTATAACCAATAGTCCCTCATAAAACTGACAAAAATGATATTATGTAGAACTACTTCATTCTTAAACATTTATCTTGTAATGAATCTTATCCTCTGTGCCAAGGTTCAGTTATATGCATACACACACTTTGACAAGTGTTTAGGCAAGAGAAGTGCAATTTATTGTATTCATGGTAAAGGTAAATTTTGTCTGTGCATTATCTTATTACTTAATAACAGATGGCTGTGATCATTTTCTCTTACTTCTTGCAAACTGTGATTTGACCCTGCATTCCAATTAATAGCATCTTTTCGTGGCATATACAGGAAGAACAATTTATAATACCTCAATGTAATAATAATATCTTCACTGGAGAATCTGAAAAAACCTGAGTCATATCAGTTATCATTTTTAGCTTCGTTACTGAAAAACAAGATACCTTCATTTAATATACAAATAAAACTTTGGGTAGCATTCTTATTCCCTGAGCTTTCTCTCTGGACCTGTAATGATGTAGTTCCCTCTTTTAGGCCACCATCCAGAGTAGCCTTTGTACTACACTCCGTGTTCTGGGAGGAGCAAGCAAAGTACTCCAAGCTGGGGGGTGAGATTTTTATGTAGTAGTTGACTAGTGAGACAATAACTTGTTTTATTAAAAAACCTTCTCCTGGGTCAAACTGAAGTTAGTAAGTTGTAAACGTTTACTTTTGATTTTTTTTCAAAATACCTCCACAGTATAGTTTTAGCTCCTTTGCATCCTTGTGGGTAGGAAGCACAGAGAGGTTATGAGACTTGCTTTACGTTACCAGCAAGTAAGTGGTAACATCAGATCTGGAACCCAGATCTCCTGTCATCTAGTTCTTTCCATTATGTCTCAGTACAAAGAGGAAAATTTTGTTTATCTGTAACATTGTCCTTAATGCCTCTAAGAATGTTTACTTTTCA